CGGATTATCCGTCGGCCCCATCCCTCCCATATGTGGTCGGTTAATCGAGGTTTTACTGTATATTGAAAAATATGTGGTGAAAGTTGTCGGCTTGAATGCATCCCTCCCTAAATTATTTATATTAATTCTTATGGGGAAAATTGCCCCAATATTCGCATTGACTTTTAGGAATGCATCCTTTGCGATAACCAAGGTATTCCTGTACTGTATATAATTTTGTAATTTAACAATTAGTGTTGTGAGAGGTGCAAGAACAAGAAAGAGAAGATACTGACATGCTTAACACAATGGTGCCATAACAAGTAAGGTGATGTGGGATGAGAAATTACACTTCACTTTTGATACTGACTGTAAGGATTCGAGTTGACTCTAGGTTCAATGAAAGTATATAAGTGATGAAGTCTGAAAAGAAATAGCACAGGTCTCCCCTATATATGTGGTTGTAATATTTTGTGAGAGAAAGGATAAGATTATTTTATGTATCACAAACCATGAGGTGTAGTACTGTACTGAAGTGTTCAAAAGGAAAAGACAAGTTTTGTAGAAAAACTCACATTGTTTTTCAGGTACTGGTAATAAATATTGCATGGTTAGTGTACCCCTTGATACTTGCTTGTTATATTAAAGTTTAAAATGAAACTGACATGTATCTAGTACACTGAATGATAATTAAGGCCAAGCAGGTTAAGCTCTGAAAGATATGACAGATATTGTGTAGTTTGCATTATATATAGTGTATAAGAAAGTTGTAATATGTAAAAGAAAAGGAATAGGAACAAAAACAGCACCTTTAGATACTGCAGCCTTAGTATGGGTATAGTCAGTGAGAGTTGCTCTTAGATTTGTACTATACAGTAATGCAGAAGGATATATATATATATATATATATATATATATATATATATATATATATATATATATATATATATATATATATATATATATATATATATATATATATATATATATATATATATATATATATATACACACCTAGACCCCGACTTACGACTACGTGGACTTGACCGTCCGGACTTATGACGCCTCAAGTATAGATAAAAAAAAAAAAAAAAAAAATATATATATATATATATATATATATATATATATATATATATTTTAAATGACCATTTTCTATACAAAACGTTTCAGTTAATGTAGTCTCTATGTATAATTAGAAAATTATGGGGCCCCATAATTCATGAAGCTACATTAAGGTTAATGCTCAGTCACACTGTATCCATTCCTTATTATTTATTACTTTCACTGTACTGTATCCATTCATATTATTCATTACTTTACTGTACTGTATTTCATTGTGATTTTTATTTAATTTTTATTTTATTTTTTATCTGTGGGACTTTGGCCTGATTTGGGTCCCTAACCGCGTAAATGAAATTGGGTCTAGAATAATATATATATATATATATATATATATATATATATATATATATATATATATATATATATATATCAATAAATATTGTTGGCGTGATCTAGGTATATGCTGATAACCACAAGGAAAGAAGAAAACACGAAGTTCAAAGCGCTTTCGTGTAAAAGTCATCTTCAGGGGTGAGTACAGACTAGAGAGAGAAATGCAAATCAAGGTGTATATATACAGAGGAGGGTGAGACCAGGTCCACAATGGTCAGGTATTAGGTAAAGTTCCTTGCAAGGAATGTAATATGTTTTACTTAGGCCAGACAGGTAAAGATCTTGCAACTTGAATTAAACAACACAAATACAGTGTTAGGACAGGCCAGGAATCCAATGCTCTGTTTGTTCATTTGAGGGATAACAAGCATTGCATTGACTGGGATAATGCCTCCTCAATATTACCATGTAATTCAATTGATAGTAGGAACATCATAGAATCTAGTCTTATTAAACATATCGGAGCATTCAACATGAATTGAGTAGCATGTACAAGCTGGACAATTTTGTAATTAAGAAGATTTGTGACCAGGTGAGAAGGCTGGTCACCTGACCATCTGACCTGACCACCAACCATTGTGTGCTATTTAAAGATTAGTAGGGTCATTACTAATACCTGACCATTGTGGACCTGGTCTCACCTCCTCTGTATATATACACCTTGATTTGCATTTCTCTCTCTAGTACCACCCCTGAAGATGTGAATTACACAGCGCTTAGAACTTGTTTTTCTTCTTTCCTTGTGGTTTATATATATATATATATATATATATATATATATATATATATATATATATATATATATATATATATATATATATATATATATATATATATATATATATATATATATTATGATTTATAGAGTTCAGGAAGAAAACCTGGTATGCAAAGGTTAGTGTTAACACTTTTAAAGGTTTTGAGATGTTTCAAAGCAGTACAGAAAAAATTACCAAAGGTAAACAAAGCAGTAGTATATATGGAATTTTCCTCTACTTTATTCTTAGGTCATTGCAAACAGAGTAGTATTGATTAGTTCATATTTTTTCTTGAGCTCTTCCCTGTTGGAAACAATACAATTTTCTTGTTTCTGTTTTTTTTTTTAAGAGGTGGCTTCACTCAGAACAATTACATGATAGATTTTTTTTTCTACAGAATATTGTACTGTAAATGGTATCTTCCAACCCACCCTTCCAGTATTGCCCTGTATATGAGTGCCATTCATATTCCCTATAGGACTTGATAAATGACGACATGGAATGTTTACTTTCTCTGAGCATGTAGGGTAACTTTTCCTTTCAGTCTAAGGTGGTCAAGACCAAGTACTCCTACACATTCGTCCATCTTTCCTTCATCCATTCTATCTTTACTTCAGTTATAGCTTGTTTTGCTTTGGTATTACCCTTCCAAAACAAGGCTCGTTTCTGATTTTCCTGTCACTTCATGTACACCAGTATCACCCATCGGCAGTACTAGCTGCAGCTGAGACTCAAAACATTATTGAAGATTCATTATACAGTTTACAGGTTTAGCAATCATATATGTGACATACAAGATCAAGTGGAACAGAGGGTTGTCTTAGTACAGGGCGTCCTCGCTTAACGTTGGGGTTACGTTCCTGAAAATGCGGCGTATGCGAAACAACGTTAAGCGGATTAATTTTCCCCATAAGAAATAGATAAAATACGGGAGTTACGTTCCTGAGCCTCCCTTTGCCCCATGAAAATAGTTACATACACAGAAAATCATTGCCATTTATATAGAAAATAGTACAGTTTATAGAACTACAGTACTAAGTTTGTATTGGTACTCACCGATGGACGAAGGTGGTAGAGCGAGTGTGTGGTGGATAGTGGAGCGAAGGAGGAGGATGGCGTGAGCGGAGGAGGGTGGTGAGTCACTGAGACTCTGCGGCTGCCTCCTCCTCCTCTTGCTCTGACTGGGGTTCCTCCGCTGCTGGTTGCTCTTCCTCCGTTGTTGTTTGCTCCTCCTCGGCTGCCGGCTTTTGTGAAGAAGCTCCTGCCGTCCCGCAACAAAAAATTAATCCAGTGTTGACTGCTTGGTGCTATTCATCTTCTTATAGATCTCGTTGGAACAACCAAGATTGTCCTCAATGCTGCGTTGAACCCTTGAGCTATGTTCTCTGTTTGGGTCGTCATCTAGAAGCATTTGCATTGCTTACTGGAACATGTTCAACGATTCTGCCAAGCTCTTGGAAGTTAGCGTTTGTTGAGGTTCTTCTTTGTCGCAGATCTTCGTTGGTGAGCTCTTCTGTATGGGATGCCAGGACATCCTCAATATCCTCCAATTCCAGCTCATCAAAGCCTGCCTGTCTAGCCAAGCTGAGGATATCCCTATTCACAGCTGGGACTAAGTCCGTGAATCCCGTAAAACTGTTGACGCACTTGGGCCACAGTTTACGCCACACACCATTCAGGCAACTTTTGGAAACCTCTTTCCAAAACTTGCCAATGTTGTTAATTCCATGAAGAATGTTGAATTCGTGCCAATATTCTCAGATCGTTGGTTTATTTTCTCCGTCTGTAGCCTTGAGCAGCTGGGCCATGGTACAGCATAAATAATACGCCTTGAATGCGGCGATGACGCCCTGGTCCATAGGCTGCATCAGTGCTGTCGTGTTGGGAGGCAGGAATACAACTTATACACTGTCATACAAGTCGTCGAGATTGGGAGGATCAGAAGAATTGAAGTTAAGGTTCTCCTTGGTACAGTATTCCTTCAGTGCTGGAACGGCGTACATGTTTAACCACTGGCTAAATATGACGCCGGTTATCCTTGCCTTTTTGTTTGCCTTGTAAATGACAGGAAGGTGATCCTTAGAATAACCTTTCAGGGCCAGTGGGTTGACTGCGCGTGAAATCAGCATAAGCTTCAGCTTAAAGTCACCGGCAGTGTTTGCACCAAGCAGCAGCGTCAAGTGGTCTTTTGCCGCTTTAAAACCTGCTGCTCTTTTCTCCTCCTTGGAGATATAGGTCCTCTCAGGCATCCTCTTCCAAAAGAGACCAGACTCATCCACACTGAAGACTTGCTTCGGTGAGTAGCCTCCTTGCTGGATAATCCGTTTGAAATCTGGCGGGAATGTCTCGGCAGCAACCATATCTGAGCTGGCAGCTTCACCAGTCATCTTAATGTTGTGGAAGTTATAACGACGCTTTAACCATTGAAACCATCCTCGGCTGGCCGTAAAGGTCCCTTCCTCCGATCTTTCACCCTCTTCTGCCTTTAAGTCGTCAAACAAGGATCTGGCTTTATGCTGGATAACCATAAGGCTCACAGGGGGCATTGCATTAATTCTGGTCCTCCATCCATATTGCCAGCATCTTTTCCACCTTCTCTATCACAGTGCTTCTAGTACGAGTCGTCTTAGTAGCACTCGTAGAAGAACCACTTCCAGCACTAACCTTAATCTTGTCAGCGTTGGTCCGGATAGTATGCACTGTTGTGGGGGTTAAACCAAGCACAGCGGCTTTGTCCACAGCACGTTCCCCTTTTTCAAATCGGGTTAATACATCCATTTTCGTAGCAAGGATAATGGTCTTACGTTGCCTCTTCACTACACTAGCATCAGTAGCACTTGATGGGTGGTTGGAATCCATTTTGAATGGTTAGAGTACAGTTTTAGAGCAAAAACACTGAAGCACACACAAATGAAGTGAAGTCGTAAGAGAGACTGGCTTGGCGTCGCTTGGGGACGCTGTGACGTTTCGCGAGTGAGGGCAGCACGCCGAGCCGAGAGAGCGTAGCGCAGCCAGACAAGAGCAGGTGATGTGCTGTAGAAAGTAGTCCGTGACGATGCAAAATGACGTAGTATCGGATCACCGGGACGTTAAACAAATTTTTGGTGTCTAAAGTTCAGCGACTTAGTACCGAAGCAACGTTAAGCGGGTCGACGTTAAGCGAGGACTTACTGTATTCATTACGGAAACAAAAGTGGAAGGGAAGAAAACTGGTTGAGATGGAAAGTAGAATCTGAAAGTACAGCATGAGAATGGGTGGAAAACATGTAATGGAAAATGTGGAATTCAAGAAAGGAAATAACATCACCACATGGTGCTCACTGATCATCACAATTCAAAATTTAATGATAGATGAATCAGTGAATTTGAATATTACTTCATCATCACTTCGGAAAAAAATACAAAAATAGGGAAAAAATCGTAGCCAGGTTTTTGTAGGTAAATTGAAATATGGGACAAAAAACACTTTTGTAACTGAATTTTCATATACCTAACCTTTGTAATTGGGGAACTGCCTATGTACACATACGTGGATTTAAGGTAAAGTGTTTGTTGCAAAAAACAATTTATGGTAATGTGTAACAGGTACGAGACTTTTGACTGGCCAGTTACACAGTGAGTTGTACAAAAGAGTTACTGTAAATTATGTGGAGGTAGTCCTTAGAATACCCGCATGAAAGAAGGTGGTCCTAGGAATACTGTACCCACATGAAAGAAGGTGGTCCTAGGAATACTGTACCCACATGAAAGAAGGTGGTCCTAGGAATACTGTACCCATATGAAAGAAGGTGGTCCTAGGAATACTGTACCTACATGAAAGAAGGTGGTCCTAGGAATACTGTACCCACATGAAAGAAGGTGGTCCTAGGAATACTGTACCCACATGAAAGGTGGTCCTAGGAATACTGTACCTACATGAAAGAAGGTGGTCCTAGGAATACTGTACCTACATGAAAGGTGGTCCTAGGAATACTGTACCCACATGAAAGGTGGTCCTAGGAATACTGTACCCACATGAAAGGTGGTCCTAGGAATACTGTACCCACATGAAAGAAGGTGGTCCTAGGAATACTGTACCTACATGAAAGGTGGTCCTAGGAATACTGTACCCACATGAAAGAAGGTGGTCCTAGGAATACTGTACCCACATGAAAGAATGTGGTCCTAGGAATACTGTACCCACATGAAAGAAGGTGGTCCTAGGAATACTGTACCCACATGAAAGAAGGTGGTCCTAGGAATACTGTACCCACATGAAAGAATGTGGTCCTTGGAATACTGTACCCACATGAAAGAATGTGGTCCTAGGAATACTGTACCCACATGAAAGAAGGTGGTCCTTGGAATACTGTACCCACATGAAAGAATGTGGTCCTAGGAATACTGTACCCACATGAAAGAAGGTGGTCATAGGAATACTGTACCTACATGAAGGTGGTCCTAGGAATACTGTACCCACATGAGTGGTCCTAGGAATACTGTACCCACATGAAAGGTGGTCCTAGGAATACTGTACCCACATGAAGAAGGTGGTCCTAGGAATACTGTACCCACATGAAAGAAGGTGGTCCTAGGAATACTGTACCTACATGAAAGGTGGTCCTAGGAATACTGTACCTACATGAAAGGTGGTCCTAGGAATACTGTACCCACATGAAAGAAGGTGGTCCTAGGAATGCCTCATGAAAGGTGGTCCTAGGAATACTGTACCCACATGGTGGTCCTAGGAATACTGTACCCACATGAAGAAGGTGGTCCTAGGAATACTGTACCTACATGAAAGAAGGTGGTCCTAGGAATACTGTACCTACATGTACATGAAAGAAGGTGGTCCTAGGAATACTGTACCTACATGAAAGGTGGTCCTAGGAATACTGTACCCACATGAGAGAGAAGGTGGTCCTAGGAATACTGTACCCACATGAGAGAAAAGGTGGTCCTAGGAATACTGTACCCACATGAAGGTGGTCTAGATACTGTATCACATGAAAGGTTGTCCTAGGAATACTGTACCCACATGAAAGGTGGTCCTGGAATACTGTACCTACATGAAGAAGGTGGTCCTAGGAATACTGTACCCACATGAAAGAAGGTGGTCCTAGGAATACTGTGCCCACAGAAAGGTGGTCTAGGAATACTGTACCTACATGAAAGAAGGTGGTCTGGAATACTGTACCTACATGAACGAGTTGGTCCTAGGAATACTTTACCCACATGAAGAAGGTGGTCCTAGGAATACTGTACCCACATGAAAGGTGGTCCTAGGAATACTGTACCTACATGAAGAAGGTGGTCCTAGGAATACTGTCTACATGAAAGGTGGTCTAGGAATACTGTACCCATGAAAGAAGGTGGTCCTTGGAATACTGTACCCACATGAAAGGTGGTCCTAGGAATACTGTACCCACATGAAAGAAGGTGGTCCTAGGAATACTGTACCTACATGAAGGTGGTCCTAGGAATACTGTACCTACATGAAGAAGGTGGTCCTAGGAATACTGTACCTACATGAACAGAAGGTGGTCCTAGGAATACTGTGCCCACATGAAGAAGGGTGGTCCTAGGAATACTGTACCCACATGAAGGTGGTCCTGGGAATGCTGTACCTACATGAAGGTGGTCCTTGGAATACTGTACCTACATGAAAGGTGGTCCTAGGAGTACCCACATGAGAAGGTGTCCTAGGAATACTGTGCCCACATGAAAGGTGGTCCAGGAATACTGTACCCACATGAAAGAAGGTGGTCCTAGGAATACTGTACCTACATGAAAGGTGGTCCTGGGAATACTGTACCCACATGAAAGAAGGTGGTCCTAGGAATACTGTACTCCATGAAAGAATGTGGTCCTAGGAATACTGTACCCACATGAAAGAAGGTGGTCCTAGGAATACTGTAATCATGAAAGAAGGTGGTCCTAGGAATACTGTACCCATAGAAAGAATGTGGTCCTGAATACCCATGAAATGTGTCCTAGGAATACTGTACCCACATGAAAGAAGGTGGTCCTTGGAATACTGTACCCACATGAAAGAATGTGGTCCTAGGAATACTCACGTGAAAGAACGAAGTTGTGGGTTTTAACATTTCTGAAAATGAATGTCATAGCTTGTTCTTTAGAGAAATTTTCACATATGTTTACAACCACACCCAAGGTTTAAAACTATTTGAACATTCCAAAAATTATTAGACAGTCTGAATGACAACATTTAGTGCTGTTAGATCCAGTAATAAAAATGTTTCGGTAAAAATTTGATGAATATTGTTATGAGGACCATGGATGAAAATTTTCTGTCGGGACCATGTAGGATAAACCGTCAAAATGTGGTACTACAGGTATATTGTTTTAATGAATTAGGATTACGGTACATGATACAGGATATGGATTTCATCTGCTTGGCTAAGTGGTCTTGGTGTGTTTGTGGAAACCTGTACTGTACCTGAAATGTACGTATAATGAAAACTGTACCACAATGGCAAAAGAGTTACTGTACTGTGCACACACATTTTCGAGCTACTGAATAGAAAGAGAGTCATTGTTTAGGAGCATTAATTTTGTCTTATAACTCTACTGCACTTTGTTCTTGTAGCCTAGCTACTAAATACCAGTATGTAGCCATTAGCTGTTTGGTTTACCACCTTATTAAATCTGTAATATGTTTACTTCACAGCCTGTTGTTTGGATTTGAAAATAGAGATTATACAATGTCCAATGCAGCATTTAACTGTTGTGTCAAGCTAAAGAACAGTATATTACAGTAATAGTTTTGTTTATTTGTGGCTACTTGTAGAAACAAATGAAGAAAATATTAGTTTAGTTAAGTAAATGACAATACTGTATAGTATACTGTATTTCCATTTGAGAGAATGTATATAATATTAATAAATGAGAAAGCTTGAAACAGCAAATTAGATATCTGATAATTTTATAATATGTTCGTCTTAAAAGTCTGTTGCAGATGATATATATTGTACATGTGTATATGCAAAGTAAATTCAGGAATAAACTATTTAAGTCAGAAAACTTTCACTTTAATAATAAGTTAGATTTAAGAAAGATATTTACCTTTCAAATTTAATTATTTTTTTTTAAATAAGAAGCGTCTGTCTTTATTTTTAAGTTATGCCTCACACCCTTAGGAAACTCTCCTATACTAACCAAATATTTAAGAGCATTTATTGAAGAATTCTGAATGCTGACTACAAGTTGGTAGATGGTCAGCCCACTGAAATGCTGCAAGTTTGTAAATAACAGCTTAGAGTAAGAGCTAGAACTTGGAATAACCTGCCAGAGAATGTTGTGACCGCATCAAGTATAAGTCTTCAATCCAGATTTAAAAAATGCATATGCTGGTGTTTGATACTTGGATGGGTGACCGCTAGCAATACGTAACTGAAACGAAGTACAACAG